TTTGATGAACCCCTTATGCAGCTGGGTATTTCAGGGCACTTCGTGAGTGGTGAATGGGAACGTGATGCCGAAACGAAGAAATTCCTCGCAGAACTTCCACCATACACTTATGCTGAGGAGTGGCCCACCTCCTATGATGTCTATACATTTTAAGCATTGATAACAAAAAAAAAAATTGTTAGGCATATATTGTTTATAGTATTGTTATACAATTTTGTGTATTTGCAGGATAATGCTATATAATAAATAACGAGCTTACACAGTAAATAAACTAAAGAGTTTTCTAGGCATTGCCTCCCATAATTTTCTGCACGGCCCGATCAAATTTTCTGCGTTAATAAAAGAGTAAAAACAAGAGTATAAAAATAAAACGAGTATTTTATTTAAAAAAAAAAAGACTCAGTATCGATGCAGACTTACTTGGATGTCAGTGGCTCGCCCGGCGCATAAAAAGGATTACAAATCGCATCCGTGTATAGCATATGCAAATTTCGAAACATCTTTGAGATAAAGTATAAAAAAAAATCAATGAGAGTTTATTAAGGAAGTTATTTGATTATAAAACTTAATACTTAAAGATGTATTTTGTGCAATACTCACCGCCCGCACTTCATTCTCCCGCAATGCTATATTTCCAGAATCCACGACAATGATAAACTTAATTTTTGTATTTGTTACAAACCCATATCTGAATACAAAAAATATTAAATAAATGAAATGGTAACACATATGTATGTGTGAGCGTTGTTTACATTTTGTGAGTCTCTGTGGAGTACAGCATGCCTAAGTAGAGTTCCTTCGATTCTGGTGTGCCCTTACTCAGTGGTTGGCACTTTTCTTCAACAACGTCGAGTGCTGCATGTACACGATATTGTAACTCTAGCTCTTTGTCCATATCGGCTGTAGTTAAGTACAAAGGCGCATTCTAAAATAATACAATATTTAAAATTGAATATTACTGTCAGCGTTTTTTTCTTCTTCTTTTACATTTCTGTATGTGAGCTTAGTAGCCCAGTACCAGAACCATTTACCAAACAGATGCAAATAAGCAACTATTAATCATCCAATTATACTGCGTGCATTGGTTAAGGATTCTAATTATAATTAGGAATATACTATTTTGAAACATTATTCAAAACCTAATGGTAAAGAGCAGCATTCCCCAAACTATTGAGCTCTTATGATAATTATCATTCCTTGATTAGATTCGGTAGCGGATTCGACCCGGTATCGTTATCCCGTCTGGTTTTCCTTTGCCGATTTCCGGTGCTGCCCTATGGAACTTTCGATAACATGTTATTGATTAATTTTATTGAAACAATCGTTGCACGCTTATTTGGTTCTAGAGTTATTATAACCCATGAACCAACGACTACAGATCACCTAATCAGCCATCGTTGTATTTGTAATCGATTTTCAGAAAAAAGTTTTCGTAGCGTTTTTGACGTTTTTCGGTTTTGTTTACACCGTCTTCTACCTCTTCGTAGTGATTTTTTAGCGATTGAATGTGTTTTCTGCAGCGATTTTAATTATAAATTTTGGTTTATTACATATTTATGATATAAAATAAAGTGCTGTGTGATCGGAACAAGTTTGTGCGTATGTTTGGTTTGCCAAAAGGCGTAAATTTGCGTGAAAGATGGGTGCACGTTTGTGGCCAGAACGTTGGCATTGAAAAATCGACCCGTGGTAATGATATGCGATTGTAAAACACTTTCAATCATGAAAACCATATTTTATGAACTTTTTTTGCTAATTGTCATCAAGTTTCACTTTGTATATTTTATAATAAATACCAATTTAATCGCGCTCAATCACCGCGCCTTTTTCGTTTTCTTTGTTTGTTTTCATTCTTAGGCAGATGTCAAAAACACTCAGAAATATACTTTTTTCTTGCTTCTTTGATTAGGTGATCTTGTATTTTTGGTTCATGATTATAACCGGTTCTCTTTGGCCAGTATTACTTTACCTACACTTCTGGCAATCTTTCGAGACTCGGTAGAGCAGTGCTTTTGTTTACTACAGCGATCAAATGGAGAAAACTTTATTTTATGTTTTAGATACCGCTAGGAAAACATATTCACCAACATTCCCTAAAGTTGTTTGTTTGTGCACAAATTTTCTTTTATAAAAATAAAACTTACATCCTTGCCAATTATTGAAATACACACAGCCATTGCTAAAACCAGCCCGATATTTCACAGTCACCCAAAAATCTAACGTTGCCAGACGTACGTAAACTAATTAAACTAAACTTCTATACAAGTTATAAGACAAAAACGATAAATTTAATTAAAGTTGCTTTAAAATGAAATATGAATATGCATAATTATTGCAGTTTAATTTATTTAAAATTTTCAGCACTAGAAACTTAAATAAGAACGGTAAGTAGATCCATTACTCCTATATTACATACATGCACTGTACCCAAAACATGCATCACTTCTGGAAAAACAACAACTGTCGTATCATATGTTTACAAATTTGTTGATAGCAAGTGATGTCGATTTGCATTTATTAGTTTTTGTAGCAATTGAAATATCACGGTAATCTAAAAACATGGCATTAGAGCCGCCAGCACCACCCGCTGCTCCGGGTCGGATTCAACGACCTCATCGGCCCTTGCCATTTCCAGGACAAGAATCGTTTGTACTCTTCCACAACACAACCAAACGTATGGTAAACCTCTACTGGTGCGTCCACGGCAATAGAACATTTCATCTGAGCTTAGCACCTGGCGCTAATAGTAAAACCAACACATTTACTAAACATTTCTGGATATTTTGTGATAAAGACACTAATGAATTGTTGTGTGTAAGTATAGAGTAGTTCCGCCGCTAACTTCTATGGCATATACTCATTTTCGTTTTGTTTACGATTAGGTGAGTCATCGGAAAGTATTTTGGCCACAGTCATATCAAATGCCTGACCCACATAATCCTACGCGTATGATACCATGTCGAAAAGAGATTAAAATACACTTTCCATTACGTTCGCTGCGTGAGAATTGCCTCTGGCGCGTTGTAACAACACTACATTCAGTACCTCCTAGAGTGGCGATGCGCATCATTGACGAACGTATGTTCATACCCAATGTTTTGAAAAACGAACTGAAGAAGCGTTTAAGACGCAAAGTGCAACCCGAAATGATTACAGCGGAAATAGTTAAAAGTGTAATTGAACAACATAATCAGCAAAGTAATTAAAAAACGTAAAATGTAGATGTTTAGCGATTAGCAGAAAAATTTGTAAAGTTTTATATTTAATTTAAGTACTTGTAAATTTTTTTTTAATTTGTCAAATTAAAATATAAGTACACTATGAGGAATAAAGAGTGTAAAAAACAAACTTACTTTTCATATAATGCTGCTTCAAAATGCTGGAAAGGTCTTTCGTTAAAATTTCCGTATCGTTTACAAAATTTGCTAATAAAAATTAAAATGTTAATACTTTCAGGAGGAATCGTTACCAGCAACGCTGTTAAAATATTTCAAAATCCGGTAAAATTCCATTGATTCCCAATACGTGTCCAGTATATACAAATTCATCTACAAATAAATAGGTCCATGCGTGCATTCATATAATAAACACCCATACTCCGGACTTATATACAAATTTATCGGTTTATTGGCATGAATGTAATTACTCATATTCCTTGTGTGACATTTTCACTTCTTTATAATTTAATGGATTTTAATATTATATAATAGTTGTTACTATATTAGCTAGATTTTTGATTTTGTATTTTATTTTGTTTTTGTTTTATATGTATGTATGTATGTATGATAATTTTGTATAGAACAGCTTTAAACTTATGTTAAAGTAAATAACGTGTAGATAATACGCGCCACGTACATTTAATGCATTAATACATATTATATAGATAAATTATCCAAGACTAATCTCTTAACTGTCGCTACAATCCGTACAATATATGTATAAATAAAGTCCGAGCAAGGAGGACGACTCAGAGAAGAGAAAGAGAAGCTTAAGCACAGATATGTATAGATAATACAATACATTTTGCAAACAAAGTTTTTAAACATAAAAGAGCAGGTAGATACTTATGAACACTATTATTGTTTTACAATCCAAAATGTTTTTACTTCTAACAGAATATTTATGATTCTAGCGTATATGCACTTTACTACAACAACACTGCTTGTAACAGCAAAATAAAATTGCTACTAGCTTCATACACAAATACATACGACACCTCGTTTAAATGCAAAATTTTAATAAGTGCTATAAATCGCCACACTTAAATATTTCGTACTAAACATATAAAAAAAGAAACAGGAAAAGTAATATTGCAGAATCAAAACAGAGATTAATACAATTGTTACTAATTCGATGATAATTCTGTATTCTGTTGGTCATGTATCGAAATATCGGCATTTTCTTTTGGAAAACAAACAAAAAAACATTCAATTCAGAAATATTCGGTTGAAATGTATAAACTGGCGGCGTGAAGCAAGAACGAAAACTAATTAAGCTTAAATTGTACTCATCCACGTTAAGGCCAGAGCGCAAGCGCATCCGTTACTTCCCACGGCTTACTTGATAAGCTGAGCTGCGGTGTTTAAGATCTTAACGAAACGTAACAGATAAAACAAAATGTTCTAAAATTTATGTATGTGTAGTTACGGATATATGAAGAGAAGCGTTTTCTCTGTATAAATATGTTGTTGCAAATGTTGTTATGATCACATTTCGACTGTTGTGTGTGCTCATAGTTTACCATCGTAGCTAAAATTTGGCTTTGTCTTGTATTGGAAAGTCAAATCGGTCGACTGTTTCCAGATGAAGTGACGCACTGTTCGCAAATCCATATTAGGATCAACCACCTGACGAAATACAACATAGGTATAATCAAATGTGTTCAATTTTTATGCATAAACATATGGCTATGAATATGCAAAACTTACAACATCGTTGCACCATAATTCAATTCGATCTTCGGCAGGTACTTGCGAGCCCTCGGAATTCGCATCACTTTGACTATTTTGCGAGGAATTTGAAGCGTTCCCACCGCTAGGAGTTGTCTCTGCACCGAGTACTTTTTCCAGTACGTGTTCGCACACCTTGCGACACTGTATAAATTCGTTGGCAACTAGTCGGTCCTATTGAAAAGTAACGAATGCAATAGGTATGAAAAACATTAGGTATTACATAATAAAATATTATTTGAATATGTATACCTTTTTGGTACGTTCTGGCTTAATCATTTGTGGATGTGGCTGCAGGAAGAAGGGAATTTTCAAAAACTTCGGTATAGTCTTTTCGATCACCACATCCGTGACCCATTGTGGCACGGTTTCATGCAGTAATGTACTCTCGCTCTCACCAGCTGCATCGCGTACCAAAAGCCGGCATACTGTACGACCACCAACCTCACTGTAATAGTAATAATAGAAAACATAACTAATTTTTGGTACTTTTAAGTATGTACCTAAATATAACTGGTGTATGTTTAGGTACTTGAAAGTAACCGTTGCCACGACTATCAGGTTCTAGCTCGCTTTGCGGCAAGCTGTGTGGAGGAGTCCAGTATTCTAATAGTGCTTCCAGCAATAATTTTCCGTAATTTATCTTTAAATAGAAGCAATTTATAACATTGAAACTATACTCCTTCTGTTCCAAGACACACCTTAGTCTCCGACGTTGGTTCCGCGCATTCTGGAAGACCAGCCTCTATGGATACCCATGCTGCAAAGCAATCTACTTCATCCTGTCCTAATACAATAGTTGGCATCTTAAAAGTAATTTAATTTAATTTTAGATTTCTTTAACCACACTACCATGGTCACTTAATATTTTTTTCATTTCCAAAGACTACTTACTCCGGTTTTCAAGTCTACCGTAAACCAGTTTGGAATGTATACTTGTTTATTACGTTTCTTTAACTCATCGTCGAAATCCACTTTGCCTAAATCTTCCTTCTTCATAACACGCAGGACATCATAGATCGCAACATTTTCCTCAGTGTCCTTGGTTACAATATAACGTTTATCATTCAAGACACAGCATTTCTTTACTGCCGCGCCACCTATGCAAGAATTATAAAAACGTCAATCAATTTCAGAGTGCATATATACGTATGTATGTATATTATGTTCAATCACGACTTACCTTTGAAGCAGGTCAACTCCGTGTTGGATGCTATCGCCCATTGTGCATCCATGCCACCACTAGACGTCAATGTACATTTATCATAGAGTGGCAATTTCCAGCATCGTATATCCGAATTCCAGGTGGTTGCCCAAACGCCTGTCTTATCAATGTTATATCCAAGACTGAGCACGGGCGCGCGCTCCTCACAAACCAATACCGAGTTGCTAGGGTTACGCAACTCTGTTACAATAATATTCTTATCACGACTGCCCGAAATCACATACTGGAAGTTTTCGCTCATCAAAAGCGCCCAGACGCCTTCTTTATGTACGTGTATTGTTTGTATGCATCGTTGCTGGCCCAGATTCCACACTTTGATTGTGCCATCTGAACTGCCGGAGACCACTTGATTACCGTCAGGTGACACGACCAGTGCACGTACATTTTCTGTGTGACCTCGCAGTTTCATGCTACGTGTACAGGTGCGTGGATCCCAAATGCGCAATATATTCTCTGTGGAACCGCTAACAATAACCGTACCTGAAGGATTCATAGCCAGACTGTATATGGAATCCTTGGAACCGGTGAGACTAGAGGCTGTGCATGCATAAGAAAATTATATTTACATACACATATAAAGGTAAGATATGGTTCACTCACTTGTAACGGTGTTGTTGCTGGCAGTCAGTGCGGTTAGCGTATTTACGTCCCAAAGGAAAATCGCCTTGTCTAGTCCTGCACTTGCCACTTGCTCTCGATCCCTGGCATAAGCTAATGCTTGGACGTAGTCACGATGTGTACGTAACGTTGACATGCAGAAGCCTTTGTGGGCATTCCACACCTTAACGGTGGTATCACAGCTGGCGCTAATTACTGTAAACAAATATTTCCTTTCGTTATTTTTTTACATATCATTTAAGTATGCTACTAACAATTTCTGCCATTGCAACACAGCACTATATCATTAACCCAATCATTGTGGTGCTCCATTGATTGTATATATTTCTCAGTTGATTCTTTTGTTGTATTCCATACACGAATAATAGCATCGCGTCCAGCTGAATAGAGCTTGCCGTTGTTGGGATCTAGTTGCAATGCATTAACACCATTTCTATGTTGCTTCTCCTCTGCGTCTCGTATGACAAAAGATACCTGGATACATTAGTAAGTTTTACTCAAATAACTCTAAAACAGCTTAAACACATTTTTTTTTTTAATGTAAAAGAGACGAAGACATTTATATGTTCATAAATAATCCACCGTTCTTCACAACTAGGCACTTCAGTGTATCCACAGATATATCGCCGACATAACCTACCTGCATTTTCTTGCGTCCTCCTTGGCAACCTTTGTGAGTTAACATGTCTGCCTCCACTAATCCTAGTTAATGATGATTCTTGTATGGATTTCCGTGTTGTTATAATTGAAATATGATTGTGTCTAATTTATATTGAGATGGACTGTCGGCTAAGGAGGAAAATGTCGTTGTGCCCGTTCCCTACTGCCTTCTGCAAAGATAACCTGTGGAGGCCGAAAGAAATCCGCACGATTCATACATTTATAGCGTGTCACTTGTAATACCAATTTTTGTTGAGCTGCAGATACTTTTTACATCAAAAATAAGACAAATTTTAATTTTTAAACAAATTTTCACTAATCGTCCTTCTTCCACGGTCTTCTCTTCGTACTCTGTACTCTGTACTCTTTTAAATTTATTTGTCCCTCTTAGCTCTCTTCAATCGCGAATGTCAATATTAAACAATGCGAATAAATGTCAATCAAAACGGATAAACCAGAGAACGTTAAATACAGAAGCAGCAATTACGAATCAGAGTGTAAATTGTCAAAAGCTATCAAAAGAAGGGAAAATACACAAAACAAAAACAAGAATGAATGTCAGAACAGGGATAGATCACAAAACTTCCACTGGAATGCACTACCGGACGTCACTGGAATGCACTACCGGAAGTATAGGGTGAAGCTCACACCACACCAGCCCACACTGCCGTGGAACATAAGAGCGGCGGAGTAACAGAGCTGAGCGAGAAATAACATGCATACAAACAATACACGTACATAAAGAAGGCGTCTGGGCGCTTTTGATGAGCGAAAACTTCCACGTAAATCTGCCATTTCGATGACAATGCTGCTTCTCTGTATTTAACGTTCTGTGGTTACGTGATATGGCATGTATCGATGTATCGACCATTTATGCCACGATTACACAAATTTCGATTAATTGAAAAATCGATATTTTTGATACATCGATGTTTTTTTGACATTTCTATTTCAATTCAATTCTTTTTCTT